CGGGAACGGGCTAGGTGTCTTCCGTAGGGATGGGAAACGTGGCCTAAATCGGTAAGTGTTCCAAAAGGTTCTGCTGGACGACTGAGATGTATTACAAGAAACCCGGGAAATGAAATCCGATTCCCTCTCTTTTCAGCTCTTTCATGGGATGAATCATTCCTCTCGGTAGGGCTCCAGCGCAGCTAGAAAATGGAGTTATGACCCTAAGCAGTACAGGTGTGAACGGTGTGCTGTTGGGCTCGCCATGCACTAATGTCGTGCCTGTGGTTCAGAAAACATGCTTTAGTGATTTTTATTCAAAATATTAAAGATTTAGTTTCTCAAAAACTTAATTCTTTTTTAAAACCATCGACAGAGATCAAACCCGTTCCTGGCTCAACAGCCCGTTTTGGCACTAGAAGGGCTAAGAAAGCCACTCTTCAGGGGCCTTCCAGCTGCCTCTCCAGGCAGATGGGGAAGGACAGGACTCACTATACCTTGCTGGATCACAGTGACATGAAGGAAGATTAAGTGTGAGAGTTACTAAATAACAGGGGGAAAAAATAAATAAGCTCTGCAACCTTTTTGGCAATTTTCTAAAATTGTCACAAGAAAAACTGGAGCTTCACTTCAGCTCTCGCTTAAGAAATTGGCACTACTTTTCCACATTTAAGCAGAGTTATATTTAATATTGGAGGGAGAATTTAGCTTTTGTCACCACTGAATTCTAAACAGGATGACTAAAGCTGTGATGCTGAGGCAATGTGTTGCTTGCACGAACTCTGCTTTCCTAAGCAGTGCCTCCTGCAATTTGTATAAATGAAGGACCGAATTGCACAAGTACTTGTGCACGTGCCTGTTGAAGCTGCTGGTCCAGAAATGTGGATATTTTATGTAAAAAAGCAATGACCTGATTTGCTTGTTTAGCTTATATTCATTGCTTCACCAGTGTAGAGGGGGGGTGTGCATATACATACAAATCCATCAGCACAAATTGTATATATAATATGGTATCTATATACATGTATGTATTTACATGCATGCAGTCAGTATGCATTAGCTATTTAAATAAATATATGCGTAGGTATCTGTCTGCTTAATAATGATAGTAGCTCAATAATAACATAGCCTGCCCACAACTCAGCAGCACCATGCACATGCTGATGGCTTGGTACAAACCAGCACCAGTGCTGGAAGCGAAGACGCTGGGCCGTGGCTGGGAGCAGCGGAGATGGAGGCGTATGTTATCTCCTGCCAGCTCTACTGTGTGTGGGGGAGTCAGGCAGAGAGGAGGTGCAAGCAGCCGGGTAAGATGCCTTAACCCATTGAAACAAAAATTGTCAGAGCTCGCTTGTCAGACATCTAAAGAACGAAATTTTACTATGCTTTCTACACTAGTGTCTGCAATAGGTGGAGCCAAAGTAGAGAGGAGTTTCCAAAGTATCTCTTCTATTGGCCAAGTGTTGCATTTGGCTGTCTGGCTCCTGCGTAACTCAGAATTTAGAGGATATAAAATCCTCTCCCACCTATTTCACCTTTAGCAAATGTTCTTGAATTTCAGCTGGTGTGAACTGAAGTTGCTTACCAGAGATACCTATGGAAAAAGACCTATCATTGAGCTGGGGGAAGTTTCATCAGCCAAAGACGCACCCGTACTTATAGGTGCACTGGGGATACAGTCTTCAGTGTTGATCCAACATGCACACTCATGCACACTCAAAACTTTCTTTCAAGTCACAGGAATGCACTAGGAGATCAGGAATATTTTCAGTGGTAGTAGAAAATAGTATTGATTTGTGATGGGGTGGTATATGGGACTAAAACCCCCCACCCTAATAGGCTGCAGTGAGTTGGGAAGAGGTGGAGCAGCAGCGGGCAACAGGACAACTGCTTATGCCATTCATAGCGGCACCAGGCCAGAGCAGCAGTCGTGTAATGGGGACGTTTATGATATGGTATAATATTCCATCCATTGCCATCAACATTTTTGAACCTGAGATAAAAACCTTTAACATTTATAGGTTATTAGCATCCTCTTTTTACTTTCTGTAGGCAGTTTGCATATAAATCTCATTTTAAGAATAGTCCATTAAAACCACAGCTGTCACTTGCTGAGAGATTTGGGGTGGCTTTTTTTCATCCTGAAATCGTCTTTGTAACAGCTTTCGTGCTTTTCCTTCAGAGCTTTGTCTCCTTTTTCTTTTTTTTATTCACCTGTTAAAATTGCACTTCTCTCTCACAGCTGGCAGATTGGAAGTAATGGAATTTAACTGCTATTGTAATGGTTCTGAGTGAAAAAAAAATCTTTGCAGTTCCTGATTGAAATTGATAGAAACGTATGTTTTACTAGTTCTTTCTCTTCATTGCCACATATTCTATTTCCATTTCAAAATACACAGACCCACTGTTCTGCTGAATGATATTTATTTAAAAATAGACGTCACTCAGAAATTCACACATTCTCTCATCTAAGAGATATTCAATGTAAAGAGATAAAAAATAATTAACGCCAAAAGGAAGTCAAAATATATAGACACAGATGTACCGCTGAGGTTTAGGCTATAAAACATCCCAGCAAAAACCTCCAGTTATGGTTAGCCTCTAAAACAGGCAAGAAGAGGTGGTGGTAGAGGTGGAAAAGGCTGGAACTCACTGTACATTAGGCCAATTTAGTGAAGTAGCTGGACATGTTCTCAACTGTAGAAGTATGCTCACGTGGAGCTATGTTTAGGAGCATCGTTGAACATATGCTTAAGGCCCATCAGTTTTACTCACTGAAGCTGAAATGCTTTACCGCACAGAGATGGACAAAGACGTGGGTGTATATATAGCCATGTGAAAATATTGAGGAAGGAAGGGAAAAAATTGGTATCATCAATTTATTCAGCACGGAAAAATCCTTGCAGACTAGGTCTGGTTCTGCTGCCCATGTTTCAAATAAAAATAAACATGAGCAATTGGAAAATGATCAGAAAAGTGTTACAGGAATTTTGTCTGGGAAACTTTCTTAGCTGAGCAGAGGGCACCAGAAGGGTGAGAAACAGCTGGCGATGTCTTACAGAGGGAAGAGTTTTCTGGTAATAGATTACTTTTAATCTTTCAGGTAAGGTTATAAAAACTGCAGTGGCTAGAAACTGAATCTATGAGAAATCAGGATATAGATAAGGTGCATATTTTTAACAGTGAGGATGATTAATGGCTGATGCAGTTGATTTCGGGGTGTAATGGATTTGCCATCGTTTGCAGTCTGGAAGCCAAGGCTGAGTGGATTTCCTAGAGACCGTGCCTCAGCTCACCCCCCAGCTCTGTCCTGATTCAGACAGTACCAAACAGCATTCTGCAGTCTGCGTTGTGGGAAAAACCATTTTAGATGGTTACAGTTATCCCTGCTGGCCTTAAAACCTATTCAAGTTTTTGTTGACTTGGGACTGTGATGGATAGTATTCATTAACAATATATAACAGAATGAACA